CAGGGAGAGCGAGTGTTGAATCAACTTCCAACACAATGGGCCAGCTCCCAGAGAGTCCAAATTTTTCTGCTGCTTCCTTAAAGAACACTCATTGCCTACCAGTGTGCATTATTCCCATTTCTGCTCAAGACTAATGAAATTGGGATTTTAGAGTGCTGCTCAGTATGGCAGCACCCATAACCTGCCTTGGGCTATTGAGAACAAAGAGTTGGCATCACTGAATCTCTGGTCTGTTGCCTTCTGTAAGCTAGGAAATGTCTCCCTAAGCCTTGGTAGCCGTGATCCTGAGGTTCCAACTTGTGTTTTAAACAGGGAGTTTCCTATTGCATTTTCTAAAGAGTCATGGGGTTTCTTTATGTCTTTGTAGGAGATGGAAAGCCAGAAGGGTGAAGGCCCATCAGTCAAGATGCCGGTGAAGAAGAGCAGCGATTCCTCGAAGAAGCCCCAGGCCACATTGCCTTCTAGTAAACGGTACTGAGCACTTTTGTTAGATGGGACAAAGCACGTGACAAGCTTTACATGTCCTTCCTCAGGAAAATCTTTCTGGGGAAGATGACCCGTGCCAGAGATGGTTTCCATTCCCTACAAATGCTCCATGATAAAAATTGGCTACTTCTGCATTACACTGAACACAGCTTCTCTGGAGAGGTTTCCACAGAAATTGGGCAACAAAAAGACACCCATTGGTTGTGGCTCAGACGATGCAGTGCACTGGCAAGGGCAGTGTTGTGGAGGCATGGAGAGGGCTGTGTCTCTGCTGCCGGACTTGGGACAAGTAAATTCAATCAGGGTTGGTTGTTTTCATCAGAGAGGAGTCTTTTTCAGATTGGTGTTTTGATGAGAAGTCCCAGTCAGGAAACAAGATGCCATTCCCCAAACAAGCAGCTCCCATGCAAGTTGTTGGGCCTGGCTGATTCATGGCTTTCTTACTCTCAAACTGTACCAAGTTTGAGTAGTAAGTATCAAGGCAATTCCTAAGCGACATTGGTCAACAGGTGTCTCAATGTGGATGTTTTGTTATGATATTCCTGTCCTTCACACTGTTTGCTTGATGGACTGCATGTTTGGTTTATTTCCCCCTGTGCTGCAGTCCAAATTTAAGACAGCAATTTGGTCCTTGCTGTCCTTTCTGCCAGGGGCAGAGCTACTTGTACCTGTTCTCCTGTGATAACAGAGGAGAGTTCTTTAGCTCTGTCATGCTCAGTGGTGGCAGAAGAGTGAGCACATGCCTCAGTAGCATAGCTAGGTACTTGGAATGCTCAGGGAAGAGACAGGTTGATGCAGGAGAATTGTTCCCTGTGGGTTTGTTAAGCTGTGGATCTAGTCTCTGGGGAAGCAAACATAAAGTTAGCATAGTGCTGGGATGTCTGCCTTCTGTTTTTATCTCTGTTACTGATTTCCTGGATCCTTCAGATATGCCCCTGTTCATCTGTTCAGAGGCATCTGAGCTACTGTTACAGATTGTCATGCCTGCTGTAGAGACACTTCTCCAGAGTGATGAGTTTCCTTACTATAAGACACACATGTCCCCTATGAGGAGGCATTTAAACTTGCAAGTTTAAATTCTCTTTCCCCACAAAGCAATGAGACCTTTGTGCCTGGGAAGCCATCTGAAGGTAGATCAGATACATCTCATCCTTGGTTTTCCTGAGTGAGCACTGGTGAGAATGTTACTCGCAGATTGTCTCCTGTAATGATTGTCATGAGGTCCACGTTGTTTTTCAGAGCCTCATGATTTTCTAGCTGGAAATCACATCATTAGGGATGCTCCTCGAGATGTTTTGCTCTCCATTAACTGAAGGTATTATCACCACCAAGTTCTAATTTGGTTTTATTTTCCAGGGTGAAGTCTACCTCTGAGGGACGCCTCCTCCACCGTGCAAAAGCCCAGGTCACGTTACCTCCATCTGTGGAAGAAACGGAGCCGCTCCAGAAGCTTTACGATCTCCTGGAAGCCAAGGGGTTTCAGACACGGCTGGAAGGACTGGCATTCCTTCTCGAGCTGTGCCAAACTCGCCCCCAGCTCATCTCCACTAACATTGTCCAAGTATGTAGGGTATCTTCATTGTTCCTTTCCTTTAGCTCCTTCCCCAAGCCTGGAGCAGTGAAGTTCATTCTGTGTGTCTTGGCACTACATCCTGGCAGTTTGGGCCAGGCTGGTCCCTCTTACACAGACAAATTTCATTCAGATCCAGGCTTCAGAACAAGTTCTTTCAGTCCAGCTGTATTTGTTGGGCAGGTGCCTATTGATGCTGTTCATCAGATGATGACAGAGTTTGCTGCTGCTGTAGCTTCTGCTCTCTCCTACTCCCAGCTGGGTTAAGTGAAGGGAATAGCAGCACTGAAAGCATGGCAGTTATTCTCTAAATAAAACATGGGTTTGGATGGAGAAGAGAAGTATCAGGCTGGGTTGGATTAAACCCAGATTGTTTTATAGGACACTTCTGTAAACTTCATCTTGTCTTGCACAGGCACGCGTCTGGCTACTCATTTCCATTCCCTATTCCTCTTGGGAAAGATGGTGCTCAACCTTCTTGGGGGGTCCTGTTCTTCTCTCTGGAAAAGGAGGAAAATGAATAAGAACAGATCTGTGCCTTCTCCTCCCAGAAGCTGCTTTTTCCCTTTCTCCAGTAAATGGTGCCTTATAATGTGGCTGTCAAGGGACTGAACCTGCTCTAATAAGAGCTGTACAGCACAATAAATTTCAGAAGCCTACGTGTTAGTTAGACAAATGGTGTGGTTCCTGGAAGAGTTGATCGGAGCCCTGCACTTCTCCAGACACAGAGATAGAGACAGACTAAAGAAAACATAGATCTCCTCCAGCCATAGTTTTGGCAATATCAAAATTGCCCTCAGTACTTGAGGCAAGTGTACAGAAAAATGAGCTCTGTAAATATCTGGTTCCATACTTCTAAAGCAAAGGTCATCTTTTTGAATTAATAAATGGAATTAATTTAATTAATTTAATATTTACAGGTGGAGGGAAACACCATAGGAATTATTCTGTCCCCACCCATACCTCTTCAAAATAGATGAAAATCTTTCAACCAGCATGAGGTTGTGCAACCACTGCAGTGAGTGGTCCCCAGGAAAACAGTGAAATTGTGCAAGCAAGTGTTGACCTGTCCAAAAGGATCAGATTCATCTTTTACATTGCTGAGTGCACATGTCCACATCCCCTCTTCAAACAAGGACATTGTAATCCAGCTGTCATTTTGTTTGTTTTCTCCACAGATTTTTGATTATGTTGTCCTGAGAATATCTGACAGCCACAAGAGAGTGAAGCAGAAAGCGCTGGACGTGCTGGCAGAAATCATTGGCATCCTGGAAAATGCCTTGAGCCCGGTGATCATCCATTTGGTTGAAGGAATTACAAACAACTTGAATTCGAAGGATCCCGGGGTTCATTCTGCAGCTGTGAAAGCTCTGGAAGAATCCATTTCTCATTTAGGTAAGGCTGACCCCTGACATGGACTCTCCTCAGCTGTGTCTCTGCCTCTCCCACACAAGAGAATGCTGAGAGCCCTGACAGCTCTTGTTGTCTGTGGAACGCTGCAGCTGACATCCACCAGAAGCTGTGGAGCTGCAGTCCTTACACACCAGTGCCCCAACAGGCTTGAATGTGCATCAGCATTTCCCAAAGGTCCCAGGAGCCCTTGGCTCTGTGCTGCTTGTCTGAAGAGGAAGTCCTGGACTACAGCTTTGCTAGAATTCAGAGCCAAGGGGATTTTGGAGTTTGCTTGGGCCCCATTTGACTTCCCAAGTGAATAGCTTTGCTGTTGGCATGAAGGGACACAGGCCCATCAGAGCTTCTGCAGAGCAGCCTCCTGGAAGAATCTACATTTATAGGCATTAGCTGCCCATTTCCCACCTTCCTTCTTTGGCTTCTTTTTTCAAAGGAGAACTTTTGTTTCAGCAGCTTCATTTCCTTATAAGAAACAGGTAGAAATCCAGCTGTCAATGATGCCTTGTTCCACATGTTGTTTTGCATGGTGCAAGATGGCTGTAGCAAATAGCTACCTAGGCAAGGGCTGCTGCAAATTCCTTTGCCACACAGATTTATGTCAGCTCTGAAAATGCCGCACTGGGGAATATGCGTGAGAAATGAAGTGCTAAAAAGGCAGGTCTTCCAGGGGAGTTTCCACTTTCTCCACCTCAGCTGCTCTGTGAGCTCATGAACTGCCTGACTCAGTGCCTTTCTCTGTTCCAAGTATGGGGGGCACATTTTTACTCTGGGATGCAAACCCTTTTCACTGCTTACATGTGATTGAACTCTTGAGGTCCCTGATGGGAAATGTTTAACATAGCTCCTGGTAGAGCAGACAACTTTGGATCTACAATTGTGCAAGGAGAGCTTTTCTCTTGGAATTAAAAACCCTCCCTAGGAGGCTGGAAGGAAAGAAGAAATGGATTCAAGAATCAGCAGAAATTGACTTTATTTTATAAAATGGGCTTGACCCTGCCCTTTCCCACCTCACTGTCCTTTCTCCTATGACCTCCGAAGAGTGAGCAGAAACGTGTGTTTCTCTTGTAGATAAAGTATCACTGATGAAAGAGTTTGGCCACAGATGGAGTCAACTGAGTGGCCAAGCTCTGCTGGATGTCACTGAGCGTATCACAGGTATGGCCAACCCTTCTAAGCCAAGAGGTCTTCCAAGGAAGAATGTACAGGGAAAGCCTGTGAATAGACAGTAGAGTAGCTCCTCCAAATCAGGACCTGCTGAGCTTGTCCCTCCTGCCCAACACCCATGGCAGGTGTATTGGGCAGGTTTTCCTGGCTGCTGCCGTGGTGTGCAGCATCTGAGACGGGGGCAGTGCTCAGCCTCGTGGCTGAGCTCTCACTGGGACATCTCAGAAGCCACCTTCAGGAAAGGGAAGGGCTAAAAATACCCTAGCTGGCTCCTCTCTTGGAAGTTCAGGGGCATCTGTGACCCTTGAGGGAAAGTGGTGGCAAATGCTGTTTCAGGGGATCAGTTTGTTTTGTCCTCACAGAATCCTTGTTTTGCTCTTGGAAGGTTTTGAGGCTGAACCCTGCAGGGCCTGGGGCTCTCAGCTTAGGTCAAAACTCAACACACATATTAGAGGCACAGATTTAGTGCAAGGGTAGCCTTTGTGGGCAGAGGGGCAGAAGCAGAGTGCTGAGGCTCCCTGCCTGTGCTGTCAAAGTGGCATTGGGCTGAGCATTTCAGGGAGTGCAAACAGTGTCTTCCTATGTCAGCGCTGTCCAAAATGCTACAAATGAAGCTGCTAATTGATTCCTCAGAGGAGCTTGCTATGGCAGCAACAGACAAGGAATGGAAACATGATCATCTCAATATATAGTGGAGAAGCTGATTTATGGCCTTGCTTTAACTGGGGCTAAATCCACCACTAATTCTGCCAGCATCTTTAAATGCAAGGTTTAATACACTTTGTATCTTCATTGTGAATCTCAAAAGGGCATGTTCAGCGATTGGGAATGTCAAAGGCGTGTTAAAGAGCAGTTGAATAAAGTAGATCTCCAGGAAGAGGGAGTTTAGTTTTGCAGTTATTTTGATCTCTTTTTCAAATGAAGGAATTAAACATAAATTAGGGCTACTTTAGAAAGAGCAGAAGCGCTCTCTGAGATTTAGTAGGAACACACAGCTCTTTCTCTTCTCAACGTCCATACTGACCAATGTCTTTAATTGCATTTCAACTCAAGTGAACTCCCGTTTTTAAATGGATACCATAACCCTTTTCCCACTTAGAAGCATTGGTTTTGGGTACTTCCAGGAGCTGTTGAAATGTCGATGACTACTGGTGAATTAACAGCATAGAGAAAATGAAGTCTCTTCCACCACAGAGTAATAAATGGCTCCTACACAACATTTTGCCTGTTTAGAAAATGAGAATGGTCTCCAGACCATTTCAGCTTTTGATCTCTCAGACATATCTGCTGTGCAAGGAACCTGTTGATACTCAGTTTTCTTCTGTGTTTGATATAGTTCAGTTCAGAAAACGAGCAGAGAGGATGCTTCAGGCACAATGTGAGGAAACACTCATGTTTTGGTTAAATTGCAGTCCCCTGGGTAACAGTTTTCTCTCTCTCTTTCCCCATTTCAGTGCACATTGTAAGGAAAAATGCCATTAACTTTGGGAGGGGAAATGCCATTAAAATGTGTAGATGCTCAGATGCCATGGGAATGGGGTCTGGGTCATTATCTAAGACACCCTGGGGTTTGGAACTGCTGTTTGTTGGAAGCCACAAAAGCATTCTGCCAATGACACCAGCCAGTCACTGATGTTTCTAATCCAAGTGTCAAGCAGCACCCACCTCTGGTGGGCTGGAGTTTTGAAGTGTGGTCTAGTACTGCCCTTTGCTGTGTGCCACTGAGCAAAGGGAAGAGCCAGATTAGACTTTTGGCACTTGACATCAAAGGTCACAAAAATGGAATCATCCTTTTTATTAGGAATCCCACATTTGCCTCTCTGCGGTGCATGTCCAGATTTTCAGTGTGGGTTTAGAAAACTTCTCCATGGAAATAAAAGGCAATTTGTCATATTCAGGCATTATCCCTGCAGAAACAGATCATGAAATAGTTTAGTAAAAGTACAAAGTCTGCCAGAGCTACAAGGCCCTGCTTGAAGAAATTAATCCTGGGGGGGTTGCTGGTTCTGTTTCTGGGAGGATCAGCTGCTTTGCCCATTTCTGGCTCAAGAGGTTCTGTGTGCTCTTTCTCTGATCTTAGCCAGAGGCAAAACTTAGAAATAGATCCCAGTTTGCATTCAGGTTGGTGGTTAAGAAGCTTGTGTCTCTCTCCCGGCAGTGCTTGTGGAATGGGTTTATCCCAGGAGCCCTGAAGTCGTCCAGCGCTACGCCCTGCCCGTGCTCTGGTCCTTCCTGGGGAACAAGGCGCTGCCCGTGCGAAGCGCCAATGTCCGCACTGTGGTCACCAAGCTTGCCTCTGCCCTCTACAAGGTGATGGGCACCAAGCTGAGGAAGTGTGCTGCCAGCCAGCCTCCACATGTGCGGGATAACCTCTCCAGCATCTTGGGCTGGTGAGGGACTGATGCTCTCCAGGAAGCTGACGAAGAGCTGACTCCAACACCTCTGGATGTGACATTTTTGCTGTGCCAACAACGATGAAGTACTGAGGAAGGGTTTGCATCCCCCCCCGCTCCCTCCACTGCCCTTCCTAGTCAAGGCATGGGGGGCCTGAAGCAACTCCAGATTGAGAACGAGATGAAGGCTGAGCAGGGCTCAGCCTCACACACAGGTGAGGGGGGATCTGGGCTGCTCTCTGGCAGGACGAAGGGTCTTGTGCCAGCCTGGAGAGCCTGTGCTCATCCCCAGGGAACAGTTCTGCCCTGCATGTGCCCCCTGCAATGAGCTGTGCTGCTGCCAGTGCCCCGTGCAGCTGTAGGGCTGCTCAGCTGTGGGGCAGAGACAGGAGCAGGAGGCTGCATGTGCAGCTGAGCCATGGCTGCAAAGCCCAGGGCTCTGGGCTCCCTGCTGTCCCAGGCCAGCCCAGAGGCCAGGCTGTTCCTGTGGTGGTAGCTCTGTGCAAGTGGGGCAGGGTGTCCCCTGGCCTGCCTCAAGTGGCTGCAGGCAGGAACATGTTTCCTGTGCAGCTCTTTAGAAGTTTGCAGGAATCTATCCCATGATATATGGAGCTCCAGATGCTTTAGGTTTGCACTGCATTCTCTGTTATACTTTGTGTTTCCATTTTGCAGACCTGACAGGCTCCTCTCTTACGAAGTTTTCTCTGCATACTTCATGTGTGCTCTTACCTACAAAGTCCTCGCCTCCCGTCCAGAAGAGCCCTCTTTCTTCGGAGCTCAGGAAGAACCTTCTGCCTCTCCGAAGATTGATTGAAGAATAGGTTTAATAGCATAGGCTTTAGAGTTAGGGATGTAGGATATAGTATAGGGATAGTAGTGTAGTATAGGGATATAGTATAGTAGGGATGAAG